CAGCACACTGCCAGACACAGTGAGTTACAGAACAGCACAATGCCAGCAACAGGGAGTTACAGAACAGCACACTAGAAGCCACAGTGAGCTAGAAAACAGCACACTACCAGCCAATGTGAGCTAAAGCAAAGCACACTTCTAGCTGCAGTGAGCTACAGCACAGCATACTGCCAGACAACATAAGCTACAGCACAGCACACTACCAGCAAATGTGAGATACAGCACAGCACACTGCTAAGCATGGTGAGCTACAGCACAGCACAGTGCCAGACACTGTTAGCTACAGCACAGCACACTCTCAGCCGCAGGGAGCTAAAGCACAGCACACTGAACAGGATGAACAGTGAGGTTCGCATCCTAATCAAAGCAAGGGATGCAGCATTCAAATTGGGCAATAAATCAGAACTAAGGGCAGCCAGGATCAATCTAAACAATGGTATTAAACATGCAAAAAACACACTCAAACAGGAATTCGAGGAACACTTCACCACTAATGACCCAAGGCGCATGTGGCAAGGCATACAGGCCCTCACACACTACAAGAGGAAGAACATCTGCCTCCCTGCCTAACGAACTCAACACCTTCTATGCTCGGTTTGAAGCCACCAACACAGAACCAGTCAACAGAGCTGCACCCTCCGCAGATGACCAGGTGCTCTCACTGTCTGCAGATGAGGTGAGGAGATCTCGGCTAAAAGTGAACACAGGCAAGGCTGCAGGACCCGACGGCATACCCAGTCGTGTTCTCAGAGCCTGCGCCAATCAACTGGAGGGTGTATTCACAGACATTTTCAACATGTCTCTGGCCCAAGCCGTAGTCCCCACCTGCTTCAACACAACCACCATCATCCCAATACCAAGGAAAACCACAGTGACATGTCTTAATGACTACCGACCGGTGGCACTAACACCTGTCATCATGAAATGCTTCGAGAGGCTGGTCATGAAGCACATTAAGGACACCATTCCAAACACACCGGACCCATACCAATTTGCCTACTGGCCCAACGGATCCACAGATGACGCAATCTCCATTGCCATACACACTGCCCTATCTCATATGGATATAAAGAACACATATGCAAGACTACTATTCATCGACTTCAGCTCAGCTTTTAACACTATCATTCCAGAGAAACTAGTCAAGAAACTCAGTGCACTGGGTCTCAACACCACCCTCTGCAACTGGATTCGGGAGTTTCTGACAGGCAGACCTCAGGCTGTCAGGCTTGGAAACCACACCTCCGGCACACTAACTCTGAACACTGGGGTCCCCCAGGGGTGTGTGCTTAGTCTATTACTCTACTCCCTCTACACCCACAACTGTAACACAACACCAGCACCATCATCAAGTTTGCCGATGACACCAAAGTTGTAGGTCTGATCACAGACAATGATGAGAGGGCCTACAGGGAGGAGGTCAATCTCCATACAACGTGGTGTGAAGACAACAACCTCACCCTCAACGTCAGCAAAACCAAGGAGCTGATCATTGATTTCAGGAAACTGCAAAACGGACATGCCATGGAAAAGGGTCAATTACTTTAAATTCCTTGGCATCCATATCACCGAGGACCTCACATGGTCTCTCAATGCCACCTGTCTGATCAAGAAAGCGCAACAGCACCTGTGCTTCCTAAGACGGTTGAAGAAGGCTAAGATATGTCCCCAGATCCTCACTATTTTCACAGATGCACTACAGAAAAGCACACTGACAGGTTGCATCACAGTTTGGTATGGCAACTGCAGTATTGCTGACTTCAAAGCCCTACAGCGGGTGATGAAAACTGCCCAGTCCATCACTGGGGTTACCCTCCCATCTATACAGGACATTTATGACAGACGGTGCTTGAGGAAAGCTCTAAGCATCATCAAAGACCCAACACATCCCAGCAACAGACTGTATGGAAAATGGTACTGGAGCATTCGGGCCCGGACTACCAGACTCAGAGACAGTTTTTACCCCCGCACTATCAAACTATTAAACCAAAAACTCACACATTGAAATCTACCTCTACCTTACATGTCAAAAGCTCACTCCCCATAATTTCTATCCTTTTATTTCATTCTGTTGAGGCATGTTTTTGCACATCTGATGTTGTTTTTGCACATTACCTGTTATCTTTTTGTTGTTTCGCACATTGCCTGTTGTTGTTTTGTGCATTGCCTGTTGTTGTTTTTTTGCACACTGCCTGTTGTCTCTGTCTTTCTTTTATTATAGAGTTATACTTTGTTAATTGTATTGTTGTTTTTTTGTACTACCTATTGTCTGAGAGCTAGCTAAATAGCATTTCGTTATACCATATACTTGTATATGAGTATAATGACAATAAACTTGAACTTGAACTACCAGTCAACGTGAGCTACACCACAGCACACTTTAAGCCAATTTGAGCTACAGAACAGCACACTGCCAGACAACGTAAGCTACAACACAGCAAACTACCAGCCAATCTGACCTACAGTATAGTACGTTGCCAGACACAGTGCGCTACAGCACAGCACACTACCAGCTGAAGTAAGATATAACACAATACACTGCCAGCCACAGTGAGCTACAGCACAGCACACTGCCAGCCACAATGAGCTACAGAACAGCACACTGCCAGCCACAATGAGCTACAGAACAGCACACTACTACCCATAGTGAGCTAGACAAAAGCACACTACCACCCACAGTGAGCAACAGTATAACAAACTGTCAGCTGCAATGAGCTATGACACAGCAAACAAACAGACACAGTGAGGTACAGCATAGCATAGTGCCAGACACAGTGTGCTATAGCACAGAACACTACCAGCTAAAGTAAGATATAACACAGCACACTGCCAGCCACAGTGAGCTACAACACAGCACACTGCCAGCCACAGTGTGCTACAACACAGCACACTGCCACCCATAGAGAGCAAAAGTATAACAAACTGCCAGCTGTAGTGAGCTAAAGCACAGCACATTGCCAGCCACAGTGAGCTACAGCACAGCAAACCAACAGACACTGTGGTACAGCACAGCACACTACCAGCTGAAATAAGATATAACACAGCACACTGTCAACCCCAGGGAGCTACAGCACAGCACACTGCCAGCCACAGGGAGCTACAGCACCTCACACTACCAGCCAACTGCAGTGAGCTAAAGCACAGGACATTGCCAGACACAGAAAGCTACAACAGAGTACACTGCCAGCAGTAGTGAGCTACAGCACAGCACACTTTTAGCCACACTGAGCTACAGCACAGCACACTACCCATTGCAGTGAGCAACAGCACAGCACACTGCCAGAGACAAGAAGCTACAGCTCAGAAAACTGCCAGACACAGTTAACATAGCATAGCACACTGTCAGACAGTGTGAGCTAAAACATAGCACACTACCCACTGCAGTGAGCTATAGCACACTGCCAGCCACAAGGAGCTACAGCACAGCATACAGCCAGACAAAGTGAGATATAGCAAAGCACACTGCCAGCCACAGGGAGCTACAGCACAGCACACTGCCAGGCACAGTGAGTTACAGCAAAGCACACTGCCAGCCACAGGGAGCTATAGCACAGAACACTGCTAGACACAGTGAATTACAGCAAAGCACACTGCCAGCCACAGGGAGCTATAGCACAGAACACTGCTAGACACAGTGAGCTACAGAATAGCACACTACCAGCCAATGTGAGCTACAGCACAGCACACTCCCAGCCACAGGGAGCTACAGCACAGCACACTGCCAGACACAGTGAGCTATAGCACAGCACACTACCAGCTGAAGTAAGTATTACACAGCACACTGCCAGACACAGTGAGCTACAGCACAGCACACTGCCAGCCACAGGGAGCTACAGCGCAGCACATTGCCAGACACAGTGAGCTACAACACAGCACACTGCCAGACACAGTGAGCTACAGAACAGCACACTAGAAGCCACAGTGAGCCAGAAAATAGCACACTACCACCCACAGTGAGCAACAGTATAACAAACTGCATGCTGCAATTAACTACAGCACAGCACATTGTCGGACACAGTGAGGTACATCACAGCACACTACCAGCCAATGTGAGCTACAGCACAGCACACTGTCAGACACAGTGAGATACAGCACAGCACACTGTCAGCCACAGTGAACTACGATGCAGCACTCTGCCAGTCAAGGTGAGCTACAATGCAGCACACTGCCAGACACATTGAGCTAAAGCACAGCACACTGCCAACCACAGGGAGGTACAGTACAGCACATTGCCAGCCACAGAGAGCCACAGCACAGCACACTACCAAACACAGTGAGTTACTGCACAGCACACTTCCATCTTCAGTGATATACAACATAGTACTCTGCCAGCCACAATGAGATAAAATACAGCACACTGCCAGCTGTAATGAGCTAAGGCACATCACACTGTCAGGCACAGTGAGCTACAGCACAGCACACTAACCACTGCTGTGAGCTACAGCACAGCACTTTACCAGACAATGTGAGCTACGGCTCAGCACACAGCCAGCCAATGTAGGTTACAACACAGTACAACCACAGCTAGCTTCAACACTGCACACTGCCAACCACAGGGAGCTACAGCACAGCACACTACAAGCCACAGTGAGCTACAGCTCAGCAATCTGCCAGCTGCAGTGAGCTACAACACAGCACACTACCATGACACAGCACACTGTTAGATACAGTGAGATACCTCACAGCACACTACCCGGTGCAGTGAGCTACAGCACAGCAGTCTCAGACACAGTTAGCTACAGCACAGCACACTTCCAACCACAGTGAAATACCTCACAGCACACTTCTGGCTGCAGTGAGCTGCAACACAGCACACTGCCAGAGACAGTGAGTTACAACACAGCACACTCCCAGACACATTGAGTTACAGAACAGCACTCTGCCATCCACAGGGAGCTACAGCACAGCACACTGCCAGACACAGTGTCCTACAGCACAGCACACTGCCAGGCACTGTGAGCTACAGCACAGCACACTGCCAGGCACAGTGAGAACTTGTTCTGATACCCTCGAGTCATCAGTTACTGATACCCTCAGTTACTGATTGAGGGTATCAGTAACTGATGACTCTAAACTGGTAGAGCAATGAAAAACAAACAACCTGGCACACCAATTATTCTTAATCTCCTATGGATGGTAAGACAAACCCTGACCACCACAAATAACTTACTTAGTGTAGCCCAGCTGTCTGCAGGCTGTGCTCCCAAAGGCATCTCTCCAGTCTTCAGAACAAACTGTTTTCCAGGAGCCCCCAGAGTAGATCTGGAGCACAGAGTTCTTTCCACTGAGCCTGACTGTGGAGGTGACACATTCACATACAGTAAGTGTCACCAGAGACATTTCCCTTTTAAAGAAGAGACAGGAGAGCTGGGACTAGGAAGAATGTAACTACTTTTAAAAGATACACCCCCTCCCCAGCTCAACATTAGATGGATGTACAGTATAGAAGAGAAGTCCAATTTCTGGTCCTCAGTCTCCCCAGGACTCTGAACAGATGCTAGCTTCTACAGGCTACATTACTATAAAAAGTTTTCTGTATACATTTTGCTAAAAACTCACGATAACAGGCTAGTGCAGTTTACAGGTCATATAGAATTACATTTCTTAAAGTAGTTCTGATCTAGGGGGTGTGTCATTTGCAGTTCACATTCTGATTGCACTACTCAAGGTTTTACTCAGAAATATAGTAAAACAAGAAAATGAAAACCAGAAAACATTCTGTCAGACAAAAAGGAGAATTTTGAATACAAAAGAAAAAATCAAACCATTGCACAGAAAAATGGCATATCAAAATATATATATATACAGAAACATTCCAGCATAGCACTCTGTTGGAAAAACGTTCCTCCAGATCCAGCTCTAGAGACTGGTTATGGCATGTGAGCTTCTCACCACATTTGAATTCATCCTCTCCATGGTCACAGTCTGTCACCCCATCACACTGGGCTGAATTCCTGATGCACTTGGATGAGGTGCCACAGCGAAACTTTCCCACGCAACTGTAAGTAACTGTACAGTGAGAGCAAATGGTTCATTTGGGCTAATGTTGAAAAGGCGTTTAATAATGATGAAAGGCGCGTATCACATTAAAGAGCAGTAAGGATCTGAAAAATAATCGTCAATGAATTTCACTATATTCCTGGCTGAAAGCCTGAGATTTGAGATGGAATCATATGACATAGGACCTGATGGTAACCTGAGAAACCAGTATTCTCTACAATCCCATACAAAATGGTGGAAAATTGAAAAAGTAAAAAATAGTCTGCCTTCAGCAGTGCTTCCCAAGAAGAAGTGTGAGAATGACAGGAGCAAATGAACTAAAATAGGCTGCTATTCCCACAACTGGTTATGAGAGAGAGGAAGTAACAGATATGCCCTGAGTTACCAATGCCACTATGAATGGTGGTCATCACTGCTGCTTTGAGGTCTAGGGCCTTGGATTTAATTCTGGGCTAGGGTACCTTCTATGCAGAATTTGCATGTTCTCCCTGTGTTTTCATGAGGGAATGACTGTGAACTTGCTAGAGCTGGCATGTCCCAGCCATGGTTATACATCAAGTGGCGGTGAAACATGGCTGATCTATCCTCTTGATAGGATATATCAAAGCAGACAACATTGTGTACTGCTTGGGGAATTTTGATTACAAGCAGTTAATAATGCGGCCAGGCTTGAATCAGTTACACCTGGGAAATAGCGCTCAGCATACTTTTTTAATTGGAGCATGCATTGTTATAGATTGACCCTCAGGCCAATGCACTGTTGATTGCACATGTACTGTCTTTAGACTTGAACAACAGTCATATTTCAGGAATCCAGCTCATTCTGGGCTGCATATAAGAGTCTCATGAACTGAATAAGTCCACTGTGAGACATTGTGTTTTTAGTCTCTGTGTAATGTGAAATTTAAGCGAACTACATGCATCTCAGTCCCATAACTGGATATGGCTCATTAAATAGTAATAGAAGAAAACAATTCTTGCCACAGTTAACTAGTTAAAAATTAATTGCACCCACCTCCCACTCCAATAGCTATGGCCAGGATCAAAGCAAAAAGCAGGCAACCAGCAACAAGAAGCTCTTTCTTGTATGTAAGGAAGTAGTCCTTTAATGGCTTCTCTTTGATATATCCTAATTGAATTAGAAATGGCAGATGAAGAATGATAAATGTCTTTTGTTAGTTCTTACTAGCTTTTCACAAAAAAACATCTGTAGCAATATTACATTCTACAACAGGAGTTATAAAACAAATATTTTTTTCATTATTTAAAAAAACAAGAATGCATTTGTATCTAAGGCCTAGAAGTCCCTGAATGTTTTTTCCACTGAATGACATGGCAGCAATTTGTTCTCCCATTATTTTAATATGTTATATACCAGAGCAACCAGACTAAGTCCTGGTGTGAAGAATTACACAGACTGTCGGAGAAGAACCTTGAACTCAGAAGAAGGCTGTGTGTGTCGAGTATTGGCTACTGAAAATCGAAATAAATTCAGATGTGAGGACTTCATCAAGATCAGCAAAAATAGTGGAGATTTAAGAAACATAAGTGGAAGTTAACTTTAGGATGGTTAGAGAAACCAGGAGACTGTACAGAGGTAATTTGCAGGGTCTGGAATCAGCTTCACCAGCTATGTTGTTGAAGCCAACTCTATGGGAATTGTTTAAAAGAAATTTAATAAAACTGATAGAACTCCTGAGCAACAATACACAACAATATGGACTGAATGGCTTCATCTTATTTGTAACCTTGAGTATGTTGTGATGGATGTGATCAACAAAAATAATCCTATCCATAACATGCAAAAAAATGTCTTACTGTTTATCTTTAGTCATACCATTTTCGGTGGGCTGGATTTTTATAGTTGGTACCCCAAGGCACCCAGCAAGTGTGGGGGGGGTTTCGATGGCAGGTAAATCTTCCTCTATGACAGACACAATCTCAATTTTTGTTGTATCTAACTTCACATGTGAGTCCTGTTAAAGGAAATCAATGATAGTTCCTTTTATTTTTACACTTAAAAAATATTTCTTTCCATTCAGTCAGCAGCATCTAAAAAGCACACATAAACATGTTACAGTGCTAGATTAAACACATTTTCCCTCACAGTTACTGTCCTTTTGCAGTCCATAACTAACATAAGGAACAAGTAATAGGTTTATTCCATGCTGAAAAAAAGAAGAAAGAGAACACTTTAAAGTCACTTTACCTTTGCCTACTGCCCTGTCTCTCTCACACCTGAAGAAGGCTCCACGGCCGAAACGTTGTGTTCTCTTTCTTCTTTTTTTTCAGTATGGTATAAACCTATTACTTGTTCCTTTGCAGCCTACGCATGCTGACGCAGCTACCCACCTGAATAACTAACATAATATGTAAATCTGGACAATGAAAATTCATTTCAAATAGGTGAAAACAAACTTAAAAACTAAATAGTAAAACCCTTACATTTGAAATTTCAGATTTATTATGTAATTGTATATTTATGTAATTAAATGTCAGATGTATTATTCCCTTGATGTCTACTGTTTATGCAGCAATATGAAATTAGAAAATATTTAATGTGTTTGTTTGGAGTCTAGTTAAGCTGGAATGTAATAATTAGGCATATAATGAAAAGTATTGTATTGTAACAAATCCACAGGTAATATCTCATTGCAAACTATTTTTTTGTCACCCATTTACAAACAAGACAACCCTCGAAAGAACACAATAAAGAGTAGGTTATCCTGGTCTCAAAGGAATTTCATACACAGTGTAAAGGGTCTAACTTTATTACTCTTGAATACAGGAGAATGTGTTAGAATTTTATACAGGTATTGAAACTTGTCACATGAACTCTCAACTAAATGCAAATTACTTCAATCACAGTAGTGGAATGATGTCCCAAACATTTTTATCAGCATTTAAACTAATACAAGCTTACAGTGAGCTGGAGTTCAAAGGGAAACTAGGAAGCACTCATTTAAGAAAAGCAGTGTGGGAAATGGCTATGTTGTTGATGGTTGAAGGGGTTTCTACAGTATATTTAATAGGTTACTAGAAATGAAAGAAATAGAGATGGACCTCCTCAATTTTACCTTAGAGATTAATCTATGGAAAAAAACTTTGCATTTGGAAGAATATAAATGTGAAAAGAGGTTTATCAATTACAGCAGTCTAAATTATTACAAGTAGGAAAATAATTTAAATTGCAATAAGAATAGTCAGAGACTGTATTTTAACACAAGCCAAACAATTTAACATATTTAATATAGCAGGTTTAACACTAAGCAATAGTCAACAAAAATGTACAATGTACAGGAGGCTCAGCAGGAAAGATCTTATGTTGAACGGAGAAATGAAGAAAAATGTAATCCTATTATATTTACTTATATCTAGTAAATTATATCTAATAAATTTGCAGTAAAAGTTACTGAGTGACACTTAAAGATAAAAATCCTTCTTTATCTAAGCACTTACAGGACATTCACAGTGCATACTACTATCACAAACTACAGACATAAATTATTAGTGCTCTGTCTTATGGAAAGCAGAACATGACAGCAGACTCAAGGAATTGGAGTATACTTCCAGGATATCTATTATCTGCAGGTAATTGGCAGCAGGTTAGTTTATTATTATTAGGTGTTTCCTTAAGTGTGTATTACTAAAACACATCACACATTTTAAACACCAGATGTAGCTTCTTTGTGGGCTTTATTTGACAGTATCCTGCCTGTAAAATCTATTTATGCTCTCTATAAATTATAAACTCTTTAAACTTGTTAAAGATGAAAACACCCAATCAGACAATATATTATCTTGCTGTTTACTCCAGGTAATTTTCAGCTTTTTAAGGTGAGTTTTTCCACGACTAGAAAAGTATGATTCAATAAAACTGATAATGTCCCATAATCACTTTTTCTAAAATTAACCTTTTACCTGGCTGCTCTTTGTTTTATCACATTTTAGCTAATGGAAGCTTTTTCCAGTTTAGTCCTCTCAACTCAGTTTCTCCAAGTGAAGCCAAAAGGTTAATGTCTGACCTACAGGAGACTTACCTCTTGTGAAGCCATATTTCAGAGAAACGACAGTCATTTCAGTTTCATTGTAGTGGAAGAGCAGTGCAGAATGAGAAGCAGTGTGGGAGCTCATCAATTTTCTCTTGGACTGACGTCTTTCCTGAATAACAGGAGTGTGCGCAATAATGAAATACCTGGAAGCAGCCGAGAACCTGATCAAGGGTATTGAATAGCTAGCATCTGGCAAGATTGGATGACCAAGCACCTACTGCAGCATTGCTTAGGATTATGGGGTAATACAGAATTAAGGTGCAGGCCAACTATTTACTGAACATTGAAGCACAGAGCATGGCTACTGATTCATGAGATCTGAAAATACTGTTCTCCATATTAAACTTATATTAATTAATTATATTATAAAGATAAAACACATATATGTATACATCTATTACCTATAGCTACTTCATCTAAGAGAAGGGCACAGCAAGCCACCCAGACACAGAGCACACGGGACTAAACCCTGTACAGGATGACAGTCTGTCACAGGAAACATTTGGAAGGTGGGTGGAAACTGTGGCCCTCTTAGAAGACCCACATGAACACATGGAACTCCATACAAAAGGCACCACATCCCAGAATCAAAACCAGGACCCAAGAGCTGTGAGACAGTAGCCCTAAAGTGCTGTCTATTTTGGAAACATTTTGATGGAAATGTTTTGCGCTGTATTTGAAAATAACGAATAACAGGAAATATTGTGTCTTTAGCTACTGTATTGTACTACAGTAAATTAACAGTTCACTAGAAATAACAATATCCTAATATTTTAAATATTTAAGTATATTGAGTTTTTTAGTAAAAATACAATTTAGTATAACCCACTTGGCTGAAAGCTAATCTCTTGGCCCATAGGAGGTAGGGCTAGAACCCCTTTGCACATAGAAGAGTGACCAAAGGGTGGCTGGAAAAGTGGAGATGGGGTGGAGGTGGTATAAAAAAAGACATATGTCATATGACATATGAAGAGGATATCGTGCAGTATTTATAATGTTTTTAGTGATGTAATGGCATCAGTAATGATTACGAATTACTGAAAGCTGAGTCTGATTAAACTTGATGTTGCCAACCCTCCCAAATATTAACAGTTCAATATTATATGCTAATTATGCATGATATTATAAGTAATAGATTAGAAATGCGATATTATTGTAATTACGTATGCATATGCATTCTACATATTTAAAACATGAGTTTCCTACAGCCCTTTTATCCATCCTTGAATTCTGACAGTTTTTCCACCCTAATCTGTCAGGGATCTCCCCTCTCCTGTATCCTGAACAGTTATTCTGACATTATAGCAATTAGGCTGAAGTGGGCCACATGGTTCTGTGTTTCATTGTTACTGTAGAAACTGAGGTTCTCCTGTGTTTTATCCTCTGATAAAGACATCACCAAAGCTTTTATTAAAAATAGTTAGTGTTCCAATACTGCTTGTTGCAACTAGATGGCAGTAATGGTTTGGGTACACATGCTACAGAATTTTAAATTTACCTGACTGGTCCAATGTGGGACTGAAAATGCCTATATTGTGAGTAACTGTTTAAGCATATTGTTGCATCCTTTTAGTATCCTTTTATGGGTTATCTACTTATTCATTAGATTCCATTTCTACTGCTTTATTTCAGTACTTTTTCCAGCCATCTTAGCTGTTGTCCTCTGCATAATGTCCTTAATAAGTCCTTGAGCACTACAGTAGTATTAACGGCCTCTAAAACACTGTGCCAAAATAACCAAATATGACTCTGGTGGACCTAAACAATGTTTGCCTCATATCCAACCTACATTATAACCATCTCATTGTAAAATAACGTCTTGAACCTAATTCAAGAAACTTTCCACAAAAGTCACTAACGATCTTCTTTTGACTTCCGATTCAGGTTCTCTGATTTCTATCCTTATTCTCCTTGACCTTAGTGCTGTTTTTGACACTGTTAACCAAGATATCTTACTTTCTCATTCTGAGACTGTGTTTTGAATTTCTGACATTGCTCTTTAATGGTTCAACTTTTACCTTACTGTTCATTGACACTTTATCTCTTTTTGCGGTTTCAGTTCTTAAGTTGTGTTGTTAAGTCTGGTGTTCCTCAGGGCTTGATACTGGGCACCGTATTATTCAGGATTTACATGTTCCCACTTAGTTAGGTGTTAAGATCAAAATCAAAGTTTATTCATCAAATGCACAACAATACAGCGTGCAGCAGTAGTTGCTGGCAACGAAATGTCTTTTCTGCGAGCTCACAAAAATCACAAGAATCTCAAAAATCACAAAATTAATGTTACGAAAATAAGGTTACGTAATAATAGATGTAATAGAAATTGAATAAAACTCAACATGAATAGAGCTGCTATGTGTCCATGGTGTATGCAATATATACAAGTAATGCAGTATGCTGAATACAATGAAAACTGTATGTCCATGTAGCCATTACAGGTGATTTGCTAAAGGAGCTGCAGGTTGGCTTTTAGCAGTCTTATTGTCTGGAGATAGAAGCTGTTCCGTAATCTGTTGGATTTGGACCGAATGCTTTGGTATCGTTTACCAGACGGTAGAAGGGAAAACAGTTTGTGACTGGGATGACTGGAGTCCTTGAGAATGGACCTGACCTTCTTAAGATATCAAGCTGAGTAGATATCCTGGATGTTTGGTAGCTTACAGCCGGTAATGAGCTGTGCTGACTTCACCACCCTCTGCAGTACTTTGCGATCCCTGGCGGAGCAGTTCCCATACCAGGCAGTCATGCAACCAGTTGGGATGCTCTCAATAGTGCACCTGTAGAATTTGGCTTGGATATGTGATGGTATGCTAAATGTCTTTAGCCTATGGAGAAAGAATAGGCGCTGCCATGCTGTTTTGACCACGGTGTTTGTGTGATGGGCCCAGATTAAGTCCTCTGAGATGTTAACTCCCAGGAACTTAAAACTGCTGACCCTCTCCACTGCAGTCCCATTTATGTAGGTAGGTGTGTGATCTCCTCCCTGGTGTTTCCTATAGTCCACAATCATCTCCTTAGTCTTACTGATGTTCAGTAAGATCTGCTCTGAATGATCATTTCTAAACTGATGATACTCAGCTACATCTACATCCATACTGATCCTGACATGACAGTTAATGCACTCTCTAATTGCATTTCTGACAGAATCCTGACCAGCTCACATTACTCCTGTCCTGAGGCCTTGCACTCATTTCCTATCAGGTTTCATGTTGACTTGACATGGCTTGGAACTTCAGTACCTATGTGACTTACTATCTACCTAATCCCCACCTCGCAACCTTAATTCATCTGATGCTGGTCTCCTGTTCATCCCCCAAGCTTGTCTTCAAACTATGGTTGACTGGGCCTTCTCCTGTTACGCCCCAGAGCTCTGAAATTCTGTGCCTGCCCCTTTCAACTTCTTCTGCACTCTAATCCTTGTTTTTAATTGCACTATTTTTTAAACTTTTCACCTTGTTAACTTTTTTCTCTAAATGTAAGGCACTTTAAGAAGTTAAATTTAAAGGAGCTATATAAACTAATGATAATTATTTGTCTTATATTATGTCTAAAGTAGTGTAGCGCTTGCAGGTTCTTTTCAGAACAAGGACGAGTGGAGACACGATTAACAAACAAGCATTGGCTTTATTCGTTTACAACCACACAAAACCAAACACAGGATCTACATACACATGAGGAGACTGACGGAACACGTACACATATTTAGGGTGGTAATTACCTAACAACACACTATACTTCTACAGGACTACACAGGGCACTAGAATTACTAGGACATTATTTACACAGGTAGGGTCAGCCGCTGGTCAT